CTCTGTGTCAGAGAAGAACTGCCCCAACATAGAGTTTTCAATGGCTTTAATCTTTCAGAAGTAGATCATCACTAAGCCTTTCTTCTGAGACACTTCTGGGTGAATTTAGACTGCCAAGCTTTTGGTTTGTAGTGGACCATTTAACCACTTGTGCCACCCAGGGTCTCTTCTACCTATATTACAGGCTTATAATAAGAATTAAATGAAATAATATGTGTATATGCATATATTACAATGCAAATGGATGTTACTTAGTATGAAGTATTGGTATCAACAGACAACTAGGCCACTGGTGCTAGGAGACGGACTCTTTATGTAAAGCTAGTTGGCTAGCAAGGGAATCAAATCCATGAGTTTATATTAGTTATCCTATATTCTGCCCAACTACTCTAACAGGCCCAAGCCATAGAGTACTTCTTTTGTGCATGTGCTTATAATAAAAAGTAATTTTTCATGATTTTGGAGGAATATGCCAAAAAATCTTTGAAGATGCCAGCTTGGCTAAACCAAAACCATTCCCACTGCCAATGAGTTGATTCTGGCTCATAGCGATGATATGGGAAAGAGTAGAAATGCCCCATAGCGTTTCCCAGGCTGTACATCTTTATGGAAGCAGATTACCTCATCTTTCTTCTGTGGAGTGGATGGTGGGTTCATACTAGCAACCTTTTGGTTTAAGCACTGTACCACCAGAGCTTCTCTAACATTGCCTGCATTAGTGTATTAGTGAAATTAGTCATTGTCCAAAGTTTATAAGGCCTATCAAAAGTCTATGTGTATTTTTTTCTTATATGGTTTAACACTTAGATGTTGCTAAATTAAAGAGCATATTATCTTTAAAAAAAGTACAGATGTCTACCTATAGCTATTTTTTTGCTTCTATATTATATTACAAGCACTTAAACACTGGATTATTTATATTTTAGGGACATGCACTGTCAGGTTCATCAGGAATTCCAGTCCCTCCTCTACCATCTCCATTGCCAGGTGTTGCGTCACCTACCCCACCACCTCCACCTCCACCACCACCTCCACCTCCACCACTTCTACAAGGAGGAAATGCTCCTCCTCCTCCACCTCCTTTATCTGGACTAAATGGTGTACCACCACCACCACCTTTGTTTGGAGGACCTCCTCTACCACCACCTCTTGGAGGAGTTCCTCCTCCTATAGGAGCACCACTTGATCTGCCTTATGGAATGAAGGAGAAAAAAATATATAAACCTGAAGTGTCCATGAAGAGAATCAATTGGTCAAAGGTAATAGTATAACTAGTGGCTTGTTTTGTATTGGTTTGTTTTTTCTTGTCATTGGGGATCAATAATGTGTAAATAACTGTATTGTTACATATAAACCCACTGCCATTTAGTTAATTGTGATTCATGGAGACCCTGTGGGTCAGAGTAGAACTGCCCAAAGTGTTTGGAAAAATGTAAATTTTTATAGAAGCAGACTGCCTCACCTTTCTCCCAAGGAGCAGCTGCTGGGTTCCAACTTCCAACCTTTTGGATAACAGCCCAATGCTTTAACCACAGTGCTCCTCTTGTTACATATATGTGTTGTATAATGTTTGAGAATATGACTGCTGACCCTCTTGCTTTCTTTTGTGAGTTAACAATCTTATGCTCATTTGTCAGTATAGTATCTAGATAATTGGAAACATCACAGAAAATATGAAATTAATGTACAATGCAAAATAAATCAATAAAATGGTATAAAGAATAATACACAAAATATATCCCCACATGGAAAACAATTTTGATTCTTTTACCATCATTAACTTTAAGTAGTATAACAATTTCTTAAAATAATCTTTTTTTTATTATTATTGAGCCTTGTTATTTTAGTTATTCTTGCTCTTTGAGGATGCTGTTTATACTGAGTTTTAAACTTTAGAGATAATGTTGAATACGTGACAGTATTTGTTAATGACATAACTTTACTGTTTTTTGATAGGATGTCTGATGAATCTTATTTTACTTTATCATTGAAATGTTTATAAAAAGAAACTTACTATAAAAGATGATACTGTCCCCATTAACTAAAAAGAGCTAATCCTGTAATGAAAATACAATTTCCCAGACCACCATTTAAAGAAAATAACTCATCCAAGAACACACTTACATGATATCTGACAGTGTCTATGTAGTAAATTGGTTGGGTCAGAATGATGGCAGAAACAATTTCAAAAAGCCAAGTGTCCATCTATGCTTTGCTTAGAACAATAAATGAAGAATTAATTGTATTGTAATGTAGTTCTTTTTTATGTGGCAAAATCCACAAAAATACAGGCTCCAGAAACTGTTGGTGCATCTGTGTGTGTAAATGTAATTATAAAGAAACAAAAAACAAAACAAAACAAATTCACTGCCATTGAGTCATGATTCTGACTCATAGTGGCTCCCATTGGGTTCCCCAGGCTTATGGATGTAGATTGCCTCATCTTCCTTTAATAGAGACCTGGTGGATTTGAATCGCTGACCTTCTGGTTAGTACTCAAATGCCTTAGGCACTGCACCACTAGAGTTCCTTAAATGTAATGTATATGGTAATTTAGCATATACAATCTAATGGTATTTCCCAATTACAAAGCATCATGACTTATTGTAAAGAATACAGTTTTAACTTTGGGTTTCACTGTAGTGGTTAAGAGCACAGTTCTCTGGAACTGGATTGCCTGTGTTTATATCCTAGCTCAACCACTTAAAAGCTGTATGAAATTGTGCAGACATTTAAACTTTCTGAGCCTCAAGTTTCCATTTCTCTTCTATGGAGAGAATATTATGACCTGTTTCAAAGGATTGTTGTAAAGACTAGAGAAGTTAATATATGTAAATTATTTAATACATTACCTAGCACATGCAGGAGGTATGTATCAGGTACTATTATGGTTATTGCCTTCTACCTAGGCCCTAAACTCTCAGTTCTGACTTTCACATTTCTTTCTTTAAATCCAGGAGGAAGATGAATGTGGTGTGAGTTAGAGGAGGGATGTATGTACTAAATTACTTTAAGATGTCTTCCAGTGGAAGATTTTTTAAAAATCTAATTTGCTATATGACCTATTGGTATTGTGTACCTTTCTGTAAACCATTAAAAGTCTGAGAAATTCCCCAAAATGGATATTTAAAAGTGTTATTTTGATAGACTGTAAAATTGATTTAGTAGATAATGAATAAAAGAACTCTCATTCAACCTTGCTGAAAGTGAATTTTTTGAAAAATTACATATGAAGTATTAATTCAGAAACATATATTTATTATTTTGTTTTAGATTGAGCCCAAAGAATTATCGGAGAACTGTTTCTGGTTAAAAGTTAAGGAAGATAAATTTGAAAATCCCGATCTCTTTGCAAAATTGGCACTGAATTTTGCCACCCAGATAAAAGGTACAATTTGTTTTTCAAATATAATTGCTGATTCCGATATATTGGGATTCTGTGCTTTGCTAAAATTGCTACTCATGTATATAAATGTGATTTTTTTCACACTGGACAGGGTCAAACATAAATAGATTAACATCTATATTTTACCTGGCAAATAAGAAGAATAACTGTTTTTTCTGTAAATTTTATTTTGCATAAATGTTATTGTTCATCTGAAAATGTAAATTTAATTTCTGTTGTTTAATGTATGTTATACCTCTTTATAGTGAAATTTTCCATTTTAAAGTGAAGCAGAGATGAACTTTCAGTTCACCATATAATAGAAAATAATGTAACAATACAAATGAGTTAGAAGCTTGAAGGAAACTGGAATAAGATCAATGTGATGGCATTTAAATGGTCTTTCCTCCTATATTTGTATAAATCAGTTTGATTTCCTAAGAAATTTTCCATTTTTGTCTATAAACAAATAATATCAATACCTAGTATATAATGAGTATAGTTAACTGATTTTTTTCTTTAATTGTGATTTGGGTGAAAAGTTTACAGAGCAAATTCACTTTCCATACAGCAGTTGACATACACTTTGTCTCATGACATTGTGTACAATTTTCCCCAATACAATAGCTCCCTTCCCACTACCTCCCGATAGTTACCTCTTCCCTGTGTCCTTCCCTCCGTGCACTCCTGCCCCCTGAGCTGTCTCCCTTTGCATAAACAGCCCTATTTCTCCCATGATTGTGCTCTCCAAGGAATGTATCTACCACGGGTAATGTTCAACTCCTATGCCTGTCTTTTGTTTGGCTGGAAGCCACAGGTGTGATTTCAATTTCAGACCTGGAGGGCAGCTAGGGGCCATAGTCTCAGTGGTTCCACCAGGCTCTATCAGACCAGCAAACCTGGTCCTTTTTTATTTTTTTCCCCCAAATGATTTTGAGTTTTGTTCCGCATTGTTCTCCCTCTCTGTCCAGGATCTCCTACATAGATCCCCCTCTGAGTGG